CTCATTCCAAAGAACCATGCAGTAATTTCCACATTATCTGCCTGGTTAACAGGAAATAAAACCTCGGGCACCCCAAAATAAATACATCCAATGAGGTATTCCTGATGTGTAGTCACTGATATAAAATGTGGAAAATGCTGCTGTGTTCTTGTCCAGGCGATACTGTGTTGTAAATAATATTGCTAAATACTGCTCTTCCCTGTGGTACCATTTGACTTATGTGGGCCTTTCTGACATTCATGAATTCCGCTCAAAATCGATCAATACGGTACATTATTTTTAGGTGGGCTTTATGTGACAAGACAGAAAGCATTTCAAGCTGTCTGGAGAGCATTTGATCAAAGGAATATTGAAGACCAGCTGTGAGATGATATGCATCACACACAAGCTCCTTATTTTTTATTGATGATCTACATTGCCAGGCGATGGCTCTAAAAGGTCCCATCTATTGCCTTGTGATACATTCAGAACACAGAGAATGTACTATTTGTGGAATAAATCTTCCCTCAGTTTTGTCTCTGAGTGCATTTTAGGGTTTGTTCTTAAACTGTCTTGTAGTAATCCATTGTTAGCAGTTCTTTGGAAACTGCAACATACATATTCTCAAAAGAGATTCAGTGAGTGTAGCTGAGTATAGCAGTGTTACCTAGACTTATATGGAATTTACAGCACAGATCATTTGACTTGGCAGATCAGTGCCTGTGTTTGTACTCCTCCCATCCTATCTCATCTAACACTATCAGCACTATCTTTCTATTCCTATCTGCTTTGTGCACTTAGATACATTTAAGGGTAAGTTGGATTTGCCTCAAACAATTCCAATCAGGAAAGGCTTTATTTTTGCTTAACAATAAATAACCATAAGTTCCATGTTGTGACCACTATCGAGCTATGGGAAGTTTCTCCAGCGTTTCTTGTCGGATTTATTTGTGAATATATTTATGGCCCCAGATGGTCTCTCCACAAATGGAAATTCTTTATAAATGTTAGAAACTTTCCATTGGTGTTTACAGCACAGACAGAGGGCTTTCTTTTTTTTTTAATCCCATTATTCTTTTCACGGGATACGAGTGTCATTGGCAAGGTCAGCTTTTCGTGCATATTGCTTATTGCCTGTGATCTGAGTGGCTTGCCAGAGCTGTATCAGAGGGACTGTAAATGTCAGACCAGGAAAGGAGAGCAGATTTCTTTCCCTACACGGTTCTATCACAATTTTTTTTTGGACCATCACCTGTGATTTTACATTAATTTTAATTGCAGGAGCCACCATGGTGAGGTCTGAACCCCATGTCTCCAACGCATTAGCCTTAGCTTCTAAATTACCAGTCCATTGACAGTACCATTATGTCCACATTCTGTTTGGGTTGGCTGTTTGATGCAGCAAAGCTAATCCCACTGCTCGTCACACTGCATCTTCCTTGACTTTAAATATGTATTCCAGTGCATGGGCACGGCAGGATGAAAGTACAAATAAAGTACTGGAATTGCTTTACTTCATTCCTGCATTTTTATCTTATTAGAGTTATGGAGCTGGAATTGATCTGTGGCAGTTGAGCGTAAAAGACTTTTAGCAAATTGGCAGCCCATTTTACAGAGTGCCCAATAGTAAATGGAACTGGAGGCAGTGTAAAACCAGCTGCCAATTCACCATGAGACCATTTTAGCCAAATCTAATTTCACCCGCTGTATTTGCATTTATATGCAAAGTAGCAGTTTGCTTTAAAAAGGCACTGTCATCATTGAAACAGTAAATAGAGGATAGGTCATCTGCAGTTCCATTTAGTGTCACATGCAAGTGATACACTCATTCTCATGACATGTCCACATGCAGTTTGAGTTCCCTTATTTAATTGTCAAACACATCATGCAGTTATTGGTAGTCTTTAATACAGCTAATGGAGTTTTTTGAGCCAGTGCCACGAACCAAAAATTCAACTGGGCATCCCATTTACAGAGCCATAGTTTTGGCCCAGATTTTCACCAGGGTAATGAATCATGGCGAAAATCCCTAGGGATTGGAAGTCCCATCCCTGTACTCGTCATGTCTGATATTCACAGCTGCTGGATTTGTTTCAGCCTGGGATTCTTGTTTGACAAAGCCAGTGGACCAGTTAAGCTATTTCCACATAAATCCCAATTCGGTATTCGCACTGTCTGGAACCAGAATGTGCAGAACAACAGGGTCAGAGTGGGTCTGTTTTCACTGCATTCCCTTTGGAAAGACGGAGTCCGCTTTGAAGAACTGAATATGACCCCAAGATACCTTTGGGGAGAGTCAGGTTCAGGTTTTGTTTGGGAGGGGATGTAGTCGCATTTGGGATTATTAAAAGTACAGAAGATTGAACCTAAAAGATATATATGCCCCCGGAAACTGTCAAACCTGTCAAAGAACTGTCAAGATCCCTCAAAATGCCTTTTTATAAATTACAGAGATTTTTTTCCCAATAGAGTGAAGCCTGCAATCTGAAACTTCTGGTGATAGAACTTTATTTTTATTTCTCCTGTGTGCACAGGTGCTAGAGGATTCTAGATACTCAGTGCGCTCTGTCTCTGTTTGTTCTGTACACACTGGTTCAAGACAATGGGAATACCAAATTGGGATGTAACTGGAAAGGGCTCATTGCTTAGCTGGCCCACTAGTTTCGTGCGCCATGAATCCCACGCTATGACAAATCCAGGGCCCGTGAAAATTGGACGAGACAAATATGGGGGTGGGAATTCCAATTTTCAGGGATTTTTGCCATGATCCATTTCCCTAGCCAAGGAGGGAAGGGTGATGGATGGAAGTAAGAGTCGGCATGAGTAGGCACTAAGTTGACACAGTGTGGACGATGGAATGGGCAGAGAGGCACAGGTTGGCACAGGGGAGTGAGAGGGCCATGAGTGGCATGGTTAAAGGGGAATAAGATGGCACAGGGTATAAGGGGCTTGGAGGATTATAATGGGGTGGCATGGCACTTTATGGGGGGACATTGATGGGGCGTAGGAATATATGGGCGGGAGGTGGTATGAGTGGTGAGGGTTGGAGGGATATTTTTGCTTTGATTTCTAAACTTGAACTTCGGTACTCAGCTCGCAAGGGGATCTTTGCCCAGCTGGACATCCAAGGCCTGCAGGGTCTGGTATTGCTCCAGAGTTGCCCGATCTGCCTTCCATGGAATGCTGCCCACCCGGGAAAAAAAAATCTGAGCTTCCAGGCCAATTTTGCCACAGGCGGGTTTGCAGTGGAAATAAAATTCAAGGCTTTTCTGTTTCCTGTTAACGAGCTGCGAACCACTCAGCCAGCACTCTTACAAGCAACTGAAATCAGCACGAGGTGATCGGATTGTGGTGTTTAAGTGACAGAAAAGGCTGGTCCTGGGACGTTGCCCAATCTGGTAGAGGAAACCTGGAGGGAGGTGGGACAGTCTTCAAAACGGAGCCAACATCTTGATCATTTTAAATGGCAGAGCAGGCTGATGGACCTCCTCCTATTCCTAGTTCTCATGTTCTAACTCATTCAGGGATAAAATGAGGAAGCACTGTTTCTTGCAAACGCGACTGGAAATCAGGAGCTGTCTAACAAAGAGGTTGTGGATATTGCGTGTCAGCTGGAGCATACAAGAGAGCAGTTGATGGTTTTTCATTAGGTTAATGGGTATCGAGGAATATTGATCAACAGCAGCTGAATGGGGTTGAAGGTGGGAGGAGCCAATGCCGAGATCTTTCCGGTGCCGAGGTTTGCCGGCCAAATTGGTGGAGGTCCCATCCCAGCCGATTCCAGCTGCCCCATGTCCATTTGGCACAAGCTGGGGCTGCCAACCCTCACCTGAGAGGGAGTCCTGCCTCAGAAAACAGTCAACACTCTGTTCTTCCACTGGTGCCAGAAGCCACAGTGGGCATGACTAGGCAGCGAGAGATCTCTGAACTGTACTCTGAGTGTACACGTGGAGGTTCTCAGGGCAGGTGAGGCCTGAGGGGAGCGAGGACCTTGTTGGCAGGTTGTGAGTGCCTGGGCTTGTTAATCGGGTAACACCTCGACCACCCCCTTCCAAACCCTCCAAAAACCCTGCTGCCTCGAGGCTAGGGGACTTTCTGGACTTACATCTCCTCACCCACTACTGAACTTCCAGCCATGCAGAAAATGGGCTTTGTTTTGGTCACTCATGGGCTTCACTTGGTACACAGGTGTATCAGCTTAGGCCTGGCCCATCCTAAACTGAGGTCTTTATGAGTGGGAGGGCAGTGTGAATGCCTCAATGGTAATTTGATGGGTCTCCCTGCCTCCAGATTCACTGGCAGGGGAAGGGAAAACTCTGCTCATGATCTAATTGAACAAAGAGCAGACTCAAGGGGCTGAAAGGCCCACTACTCCAGTTCCTGTGCTCCAATTCAGCCGAGTCGCTCCTTAAGGTCAGCCTGACAGAAACTTACAATGGAGATAAATGTTTCACATTTAGAGTCAATAGTGGAAAATCTAGCCCAGGGGAAAAATGTAGCATCTTGAAGTGATTATTTTTGGTAAAAATGTGGAGTCTGTTTTCTTTCCTGAGTGATGTTGAAAGGTGGTATTGTTCCTGATTGTTGACTTTTACTATCATAGAGAAGATGTTTGTTCCTGTTGATGATAGGTGCTGAATTTCCCAGGAACATTTCTCATGTTGGCTATTTGAAAGTTTTCCAGATGTCACTGTCAGTTTTTATACAGCTCCCTCCAAAGTACGCTTAGTTATTGAACCCCTCTGGCTCTCAAAAGTTGACACTGTGATATCTGCACTAAAAAGCAACATTATCAGTATCTGCACCCCTTTGCTGCAGAGTAATGTGAATTTGAACAGTGATTTTACATCTGAGAAAAAGAATTCATACAATGGATGAATTCTGGGACATGAAATAAAATGCATGGCTTCTTTTGTAAACTTGACAATTAATACTCTTCATCATTGTGTCACACGTTATATACAAAGCTTCAGTTCATTGGCTGGAAGTGTTGATTTATCCTGTTTGCTTGCTTTTCACAGTCTTTTCATTATGCCTCTTTGAGATCGAAAACCAAAAAGAAACCGAAAGGTAAGGAACATAAAATATGTCATTTTCGTTCATTGAAGGTGACAGATCAAGTTGACAAAAACTGTGTGAAGGACATGCACTGTCTCAGGATTTATAAGTAGAGGCATCAAGTACTATTGTGAACAGGTTATTCTGTGGCTTTATAAATCACTGGTTAGGCCACAACTGTAACATTGGACCTAATCCAGGCATTGGAAAGAATACCAAAACTTAAGAGGATGCAGGGGAGATTTACTAGAATGGTACTAGGGTTGCTTGTGGAGAGACTAGAGAAGTCCAGATTATTTTCATCAGGCCACAAAAGGTCAGAGGAATACTTAGTAGATGTCTTCAACATGATGAGAGAAACAAGAAAGAGGGTCTGTAAGCAGAGGGCACCGATTTCAGATAATTGACACAGATACCGGGGGCGATGAATAGAATGTATTATCCAGAATGGGCTGTTGTGATGTCCAGTGGACTGCCTGAAATTGTCGTAGAAGCAGATCCATTAACAGCTGTTGAAGGGGAATTAGATAATTCTTGAATGGGAAAAATACACAGGAAAATGCTGAAAGAAATGGGGGAGTGGGAATGGTTCTTTCACACATCACAATTGGGCGAATGTGCTCATTGCCTCCTGTATGATTCAATGATTCGTTAAACTTGAAAACTCTTGCATTGTCGTCCAGTTTCAGAGGAACAGCTGAGTCTTTGTGGCATTCCATTCTTTAAGCTAGCTGTCATTTTACAGCAAATCTTCATGTCATGTTACATTAGTGTAATTTATATTTGGTAATCTTTCTGGCTTTAGAACACAGATCTGCTTTTAGCAGTTTTGTTTGCCGCTTGCAAAGGTTGTTTTGGATGCAGTTTAGGGATTGCTACTAATCAAATCATTGTGATTTTTGATCATCTCTCCTTGTACCAAACACAAGTGGAATAATCAGTGATAGTAGGAACTGCAGATGCTGGAGAATCCGAGACAACAAGGTGCAGGGCTGGATGAACACAGCAGGCCAAGCAGCATCATAGGAGCAGAGAGGCTGACGTTTCGGGCCTAGACCCTTCATCAGAAAAGGGGGAGGGGAAGGGGGTTTTGAAATAAATAGGGAGAGAGTGGGAGGCGGATAGAAGAGGGATAGAGGAGAGGATAGGT